TGATTCACAGCATCAATTGTAAATAAACATGTTTTTATCTTTTTTATTTATAATTTTATGTATATATATTTTGTATGTGTGTGTGTAAATTAAGGATATACATAGAAAAGAAATTTGCTCTTGTTTTCCTAATTTAGTTCTAAGTTTCAGGAAACACTGCTGAATAAAAATACACAATACTTGAATTCTGTTGTTATTCTTCTTTTTTTTTTTTTAAGGAGAACTGATATCTTGCTTAGACCTTGGCAATGAAAAAAACTTACGTTATCTTCTCCAATGGCAACATAACAGTGTGTTGTATTTTGCTTTGTTTCTACACTAAGATATGACTAAGATATGAATGTTCACCCCACATGAGTTTGACAAAAAAAAGGAATAAACCATTACTCCATGCTTAGTATTTCTACTCCTAGAAATATGTTTATTTGTGGGAGCTTTGGGAAGGCATTGTTGAAGCAGACCAATATTAGTCTATGGTGGCAAAATAAAATCAGATTGTATCCTTCATCAATCTGGCTCTTCCATTAATTTGATGAAGTGACCTGCAGCTCCTAAAAAACTATACCACTACATAAAAATTGTTAGTCAGAAAGACTGATTATGTTTGATTGAGGTTTATTTGGAGTCACTTTTTTTGGTACAGTTTACAGACTTTAAACTCATATTTCTTCAAGCTCCACGATGGTCAATTGTATTTTAAAGTGTATAAAATATATTTTCTTATTATAAAATGTATCAAATTGCATCTACCTACCATAGTTAAAACTGCTAACGTATTTTTGTAATAAGATTTTTCTTAACTTCTATAAGTATTGGTCTACTGTTGGATACTATACTGTATATGTACAGTAAATATGTAGAAGTCACTATCAAAATATTATTTTCAGAAGGCAGTAACAACCAAACTACAGATAACTTAGAGATACACAGCATTTTTTTTTTGCTCTGTATTGGTGTGAACAACAGGCTTTGTTTCCATTGCTATGATTATTCTGTCCTTGTTATGCATAGAGCCATAATCTAACCATTTGCCCAGCAAGCCAGGCTACATAAAATACTGTGTATGTATACCTGTAGTATAACTGGCTAAGTTTTTGTTCCTATTTATTTATATTTTTGTTTGTTTGTTTTTCTAATTTTTATCACAGGTGATTTTATGCAATTTCACAAATTTAGTTAAAATAACAATACCTAGCACCATCACACACAATCCATTATCTCTCAATCTCAATTTAAACAGGGTTTAAGCCTTTTAAATTAAAATATTAATTCAAAAATGAAATAATTTTTCTAGTATATTTATGGGGAGCAATTCCATAAGAGAAGACCTTTGGCAAAACTTATTTTCCTTTAAGTACCTTCTCTGCCATACCTCAAAGAAAGAAGAAATTCTGAGTATATATTCTAAGCAGTATGATGATAATGTGTAAAGCGGTGTTTCTCCAAGTTAGCAAGTTCAAGATGTGTGGACCTGTTCCAAAATTTCTCAGTAGTCCACGTATCTTGACATTACGTTAAGGTTGTAAAACACTATATTAAAAAAAGAGATGGACATGGGAAGAAGAAAGGAAGCAATTTAATAAGGAAAAAAGATTACACAGTTCTAAGAGAGAAGCATGAGAAAGAAACTTAAAATAACCCAACCTTCATTTTGTTTGGTAGAGAGAAACTCTCAACAAGCTGTGTAGGTTCTATTGTTCTACCCTGAACCAATAAAGAGCACTTGTGGAAGCCCTGCTGGTCCTGTTTCTTAATGCTGTCTTGAAGGGCTGTCACCTTAATATAACTTAATATAACAGGGATATATTGGTTCTAAATTAAAAATAATTCAGTTCCTGGTATTCTCGGAACCAAGTCTCGTATATTTCATTAATCTTGTTAAAGAGTACACTGTAAGACTCTGAATCACCTTCAGTGCTAAGCAGCTGCTATACAACCTGAGACTTAACATAGGTCATCAACAGAAATGGGCTGCCCAGTTGCCATTCCATGATTCACATACTGGAAAGTGATTTAATGTGCTTTCAGAAGCTATGAGTATCTACTAGGAGTGGGAGTGGGGAGGGATTTTAATACTTGTGAGATTGTCATCATATCAATCCCATGATTTACAGTATATACTTACAACAGATGTCATGATGTGAGTATCTAATATTGGCATTTGTAGGATGCCATTTTAATGTCTCTGAATTTGGTTATGAGCACCATCATCAAGATTTTATAATTCTTGGCTTTGTTTGCAGTTTATACTAACCAATGTTTAATTGAAAATAATTTTCTGAATAAATACAATTGTCTGGATTTGCACAACACAAATGGGCTGGATTTGCAAAACCCAATGCTAGGCTTATTATCCATGATTAACTCAACTACAGTTTATTTATATCCTCTATTTGGGGGAAATTTGCACAATACCTCAAATCAATGACTAATCAAGTAGGTTGACACATAATACAATATGCTAGACCTGCTTTTCTCAGCTAGGCTTTGATGGAACTCTTGGTACCATAAGATATTGCTGGAGGTTCCACAAAAAAATTGTGACTGAATTAAAAAAAAAAAAAACTTTCCATGTCATATATTGCCTATACCTGCAGTAATGGACATTTTAATGTGCTATGGCTTAGGTGTCAGCCTCCCCATTGCTTTTGTGGCAATGTGGCAAAATAGTTTAGAAGTGAATTGTATTGTGAAGTTTCATATTTATTTTAGATTTTTATATATTTCTTTCTCTCCTGTACACACACACACACACACACGTACACACGTACACACACACACACACACACACACACACACACACAGGTATTCAGTGGGACTTTAAAGTTATTTCAGGGGCTCCTCAAGGGCTCCTCAATGTTGACAAAGGCTGTGTTAACCTGTGGCGGATACATTTAGGATTGAGTGTAGCCTATAAATCCTTTTGTGTAGTTTCAGATTTAGTTTCAGATTTCAGATTTAATTACTTGAGTCTGAATCTCCATTGCCAGCTAGAGAAGCAAACTAATCCATTACAAATGTGTATAATGAGTCTCCAGGTGGATTATTTTTGGTTGCAATTAAATGCCTTACATTGCAGTGTATCTGGAAGAATATTTTGCAATCATGTTTTTCCTGCATTAAATTCAACTCTACAGACAGTCACTTTTTCATTCCATGCTTATGTTTATTCAAGTTGTCAGGCCTGGAGAGGAGCTAATAATATTGAAGTATCAAAAGAGAAGCTGCTCTCATTATCCAGAAATATTCTCTGTTTACAGACCAGGAGGGTTTCAATAACTTGAAAGAAAGAAAAAACTGGTTTGACCAGACAATAGAGGGCTACACTTACACTACTGAACCATGTATATTATGGCAACAATGATTTTACAACTACATTTTTCCCCTGAAAAGCTAGACTTTAAAAAAAATACAACTACTATAAGCATTGAGTTTTATACTAGAATATGATATTGTGAGAAGTTCGTGCTTGAAAGGTCATGTGTATTTTTAGCAATTATATTCTAATTTTAAAAAGCTCAACTCTGCACAGATATGAAGAATAAAATAAACAGTACTAATTTTCCATTGTGAAATTGTTTCCCAGATGGACCAAAAGCTTGTCTTTTTGTTATTTTTTTAAATTCTGGCACAAGTCCTGCTGAAGGAAGGGATTTCTTTTTGCTTTCCTTTTGTTCCTCTCACAACAGTGCATGCTTTTCTGTGCCCCTTGGCTGCAGAAAAACAGACCAGCTCTATCCAGCTACCCTCGCATACAATCTGATTCTGGTCCAATAAACCTTCTGATAGTGTCAGAAGGATGCAATGGGAGAAAGGCCAACAAGCTAGATATCATTCAGCCTGGATCAAGTTTTTATGCAGATTGTATATCAGGCCAATTTATAGAAAAAATGAAATAATGGCATTTGAGGAATAACTTTTCTGTAGAAAATAATGGGATGTTTCAATCATGGTACCATCATTTTTTAAAGAATAGTTATTTATTAGATTTATACTGTACATTTTATCTGTAAGCTCATGGATATATTGGATATATACTGTATTGGATCCCTTTTCATTTCTCCATACCGCAATCCTCTCAGGTAGGTAGCATAAGACTAAGAGAGAGGTTTTTCTTTTTCTTTGTACAACCCTGTAATCCCTTATATTGGAATGGAGTCAGAGCAACTGAATTGAGCTGAGTATTTACTGGCTAGATGCCCTTCCTGACACCTATGTAGAGTTCACAGCAAATATGTTCTCTTTACACCCAAATAGAGAAACATTTGTCACTGCCTAGGACCAAAACTCTCAACTCCTGAGTATGAAGCAAGGGTCTGTATCTCTAGACTACCATGCTACATTTAGGCTGAGAGAGAGTAACTGGCCCAAAATCACCCAGTGGACTTCTGTGGCTGAAGGTAGAATTGAACCTGGGTTTCCAAAATTCTGTTACAACATCTAACCATCGCACCACACTGATTCTCACAACTGACATAAATGATTCTCCAGAAAAGAGTTTTGGTGAGGATAACTTTGCTGCATCATGTGTTTACCCTATATTATGAATGTAAACTTTTAAGTTTTGATGAAGAAATGACAGTGTTTTTAAGCAGACAAAATGAGATATACATGAACAC